CCCCCCCTCATATCCTTTGATTCTTTTGGCGTCATATCTAATTCCTTCTTGAAATCATACAATGTTTTGTCCTTAGCTGCTTTCTGTGGTTTTGAATTCCACAGGCTCACCACTCTTGGGTGATGAAGAAATTTCTCCTCACCTCAGTTCTGAAATGCTGTGTCCTTTGAATGTGAACCCTTGTTGGATTCCCCCACCATCAGGAACATTCTTCATGCATCTATCCTGGCTAATCCTCTTAGAGTTTTATCTGTTTCTATGGATCATCCCTCATTCTGCTGAACTCCAGCAAATGTAATGCCATGTTGCTCAAACTCTCCTCATATGTCAGTCTTGTCATTTAGGAATCAATCTGGTAAACATTTACTGCACTCCCTGTATAGCAAGAACATCCATCCTTAGATACGGAGACTGAAACAGCACACAATATTCCAGGTGTGGTCTCATGAAGGCCCTGTATAATTTCAGCAAGACATCATTGTTCTTGTTCTTGAATCCACTCAGTATGAAGGTCAACATACCACTTGCCTTCATTACTGCTTGCTGCATCTATATGTTTAACTCCAGTGACTGGTGTACAAGGACACCAGATCTTAGTGCACATTCCACTGTCTCAATTTAGAGCCAGATAATAATCGGTCTTCCTTTTTGTTTTGCTGAACTGGATAACATCCTATTCATCCATACTACTTTGCATCTGCCATTTCATATTTCAAAGTGGGCCTACAGCAGGAGCCTGTCATGGATTCCTTGAGGTGAGAGTGGCAGGACTAGAATTGTAGAGAGAAACTGTTTGTTTGTCAATTGATGGGGATGGGAGAGAGAAGTCCGAATCAAGAGCAGGCTGCTTCCTGCACGGCCCTACCTTTTGCTGATGTCAGCTATAACACCATGCACCAAATTGCTATAAACAAGAAACACCTCACCACCAGCTCAACCACACATTGTAGGCCATTGGCAAATCTGCCAAGGTTTGCTGGGCAATCTTCCCCAGTTGCCACTGGTTGAGCCCCTTAAGCATCCATGTAAAAGGCCTCAATTTATCCTCTTTTCCATGTGGTACATAAAATCAAAAAAAATGTATTTGTTTTTTAAAAGTATGAAAATTTTGTAAACAAATTGCAAAGTTAAAATCTAAAATTACCCCAAGAAACAAATTAACATCAGCTTCATTTCTTTTGTTTATATCAATTTGGCCTGTAACGATTAACTTATGGCATGATTCTGATACAAAGCAAGACTGAATTCCCAAACAGTTAATTTCAAATCACAGAAACAAAGAAGAATTGAAAATAGGAGAAGGCCTAAGCTATTTTGCCCACCAGGTCTGCTCCTTCTTTCAGCATAATCATGGCTTATCCTTTATCTCAACACCATCATCATGCCAACTCCTGTACTCCTTGACACATTTTAGCCTCTAAAACTCTATCTAGTTCTTTCCTTAACATCTCTTTTTTTCAGATTTGTGGGATGTGGGTGACACTGTCTGAGCCAGCATTTATTGTCCATCACTAGTTGCCCTTGAGAAGGTCATGTTGAACTGCTTTCTTGGACTGCAATCCATTTGCTGTAGGTACACCCACAATGCTTTTAATGAGGGTGTGCCAGGATTTTGAAGCAGTGACACTGAAGGAACAGTGATGTATTTTAAAGTCAAGATGGTGAAAGGCGTGGTGCGGAACTTGCAGATGGTGCTCCCTTGTTTAGTGACTTGGTCTCCACAGCCTTCTGTGGTGGTGAGTTCCACTGTGAAGACCTGGCTGCTCATTTCCATTCAAAATGTGTTTCTTGCCAGCTTAACCCGGTGACAGAGGAGATGTGGGACAGAAAAGTGTCAAAGATAAGTTTTTATCCTTTTTTAAAAATCATATTTATTCCATAACAACAAATATAATTTAGTTAGCTCCTTTTAATTTCCTAATGTGTCCCAAGGCAATTTGTAGTTGTGTGGTAGTGAATAATGGAGAATGCAGCCAGAAGAACATTGGAATACTCAGATATAGAGGTAATGAAGGATGAGGATTTCAGTAACAAATAACCCATGGCTAGGCTGGAGTCAGACATGTTACTGAGTGGTGGACAAAAACGTCTTAGTAATGATGTGGAACTGTTTGGCTTTAGTCAGCTGCAAGGAGATGGATTAAGTTCATGGCTAGGGATTGAAGTATGTAGCTTGGACTGAAGACAGTGTTTCAATCTCCCCAACGTTGAGTTGAAGGAAATTTTAATGAGAGTTTCAGCAGCAATTATAGTGAATGAGGCAGAAATGGACGATGACGTAGAGGCGAAATTGGATGAGGGTCTTGATGATGAGGAGGAGGATACTTGGTCAGATCTCTGCTGAAATACTGCTCCTCACTTTCAATTGCAATGACCCAAAAATTGATTCCATCAATTACATCCGATCCATACTACCCTAGTTTCTGGTTCTTCCCAGTTAAAACAAGTGAGAAGTCAGACATCAGATTTTATATAAATCTGTGGAATTAAAATACTCTGGACTTCATTTCTAGAATTACAGATGAGTTTCTGATGCACCTATTGGATCCTGAGTATACCTTCTAACCAACGTAGTCCCCATCACAAAGACTGCTTACATTTACCTTCATTAAATTGCTAACTTTTATCCTTACCTCAGTCCATCTGCTGTTAAAATCCTCATTTGTGCCTTTCCCATTTGTGTACTTAGCCATTCTCATTAACTCCTGACAGGCCCCTTTCTCTCCTGCCTTTTCAAAAATCAACTCATCCAGAATACTGCTGGTGATTTAAAAAGAGTGCAAAGAACTGCAGATGCCAGAAATCAGAAACAAGAACAAAACTTGTCGGGAAAAGCTCAGCAGGTCTGGCAGCATCGGTGGAGAAAATCCAATTCCACCCCTATAACATTTTCTGCCCATTTCTGTCCCATTTGTTGTAATTGCTGCTGAAACTCTCAATAACATTTCCTGGGTGTCTTCGTTAACACCTCCTCCTTTGTCCTGCCTGGTAATTATGGTTGACTGTCACTATGATATTTGGATTTTTTTTCCCTGTTAAAGTTGCTATATCAGTGCAAATTTTTATTTTAAAATTATAGCATGATACTGGTATCATAATGGGATCCTGAGGAATTTTATTGATTTATTCACATGCGTGTGGAAGACACACACTCATACTGATGATCTTGGATGTCCATCCGGAGCAAAAATCTATTTTTCCACTGTAGACTACGATTCATGTCTGCATTTTCCTGGTCCGTATGCTTCAGTGCCATGACAAATATTGTGTTAGTCCGTTGAGACATCAGTAAAGCTGACACTTGGTGCTTTGTGTTTCATTACTCTGAAAAGGCTGGAAAGAGTTACAATAAATTATGTCGATCCCTCCAGATGTTGGAAATATTTTTCCATTTCCCATATGAAAACAGAAGTAACAGATGAAGATAAAACAACTGAGGGAAATGTTTGTGATAATGCCGGAATTTCCATGTAAACACTAAGAGGAAAATCTTGGCAAATGGGTATATCACGTGGCAATGAAAGACACATTGTGACATTCAGATGAATGAAATTGAAGAACCAACATTGGACTATACAGGAACCTTATCCCCCTCCAGGGCTTTGCAATCCAGAAGAGTCTGCTTCTTGAGTATTTTCTATATATAGGCTGGGAAAAACTTCCTCTCTGCTTTGCTGAAATTGCTGATTTTGGCTAGAATACAGCCAGGATCTCACCCAACTGTTAATTCTCTGTCAGGAATGTGTGTGAGGGTGGTTATATGTTCCTGGTATCAGAGAGAAGAGACTGTGTCACTTCATCAGTTTGTGGCAGAGCATGATCTAATTGGTGTAATTAGGAGGTCATGAGAGATATACCATAGATCCCCAGTGGGATTGCCCTATCAAGAGAAAATTTACTCATGCAAAGAGAATAATCTGATGCTGCTAGTGAGCATCTTCAAAAGGGCAAATTTATCCTGAAGATTGAAATGCATTTCCCATTAAGGGTCTTGACCAGTATCCAACATTTCAGTAGATAACTGGTGGAGGGACTTTGCTACAAGGCCGTGTCAATGGCAAACATCACATATTACTCCCTCTTTCTGGGGCAATGGGGAAGGGGCTATAATTTGGCCTAATAAGACAGAAATCCATCAGTGAACCAGGTTTGCCCCTGCTGCATTTGTGTGTGGTGAGTGGGAGGATGAGGGCAGTGGACTCCTGGCAGGAGTAGAAGGATGGGAAATCAAAGTCAGGTGGTGGTATTTGTCACCACTCACATTTTCCTGCATTCTCCATCTGATTCCAGACAGAATCAGAAAGATGACCACAAGATATAGGAGCAGAACTAGGCCATTTGACCCATCGAGTC